CGTAACGTAACGTTAACGTACTACGTACTACGTACTACGTACGTACGTACTATATATATATATATATATATATATATATATATATATATATATATATATATATAGTACAATCGATAAACCTCATCTTCAAAGCTAGTAATGAGGTAAGTGTATATTAATAAAAGCTCGTAGTAAGGTACAATCGAGCTACACCTCATCTCCAAGCTAGTAATGAGGTAAGTGTATAATAATAAGTGCTCAACATAAGGTACAATCGATCTAAACCTCATCTCCAAGCTAGTAATGAGGTAAGTGTATATTAATAGCTGATCGCAATAAGGTACAATCGATCTAAACCTCATCTCCAAGCTAGTAATGAGGTAAGTGTATAATCATAACTGCTCGTAATAAGATACAATCAATTTACACCTCATCCCCAAGCTAGTAATGAGGTAAGTGTATATTAATAACTGTTCGCCATAAGGTACAATCGATCTACACCTCATCTCCAAGCTAGTAATGAGGTAAGTGTATATTAATAACTGCTCGAAATAAGGTACAATGGGTCTACACCTCATCTTCAAGCTAGAAATGAGGTAAGTGTATATAAATAACTGCTCGCAATAAGGTACAATACATCTACACCTCATCTCCAAAGCTAGTGATGACACATGCGGGCTCGTTTAGTGCGAGAATCACTCATCGAAACAATTGGGACTAATATATTCTGCAGTTATTAGGCATGGTACACTGCTAGACCGCCCCAAATACAAGCACTGCAGATAGAGTATACACTTTTTATGTTATGTTATGTCTGCTTTTTCAAGACAGTGCACAAGCGATCAATTCCCAATTGAATTTCATCTATGTTGTAATATGCAAACGATAGTCGTGCGCAGTGGCCATGAGCCTTACCGTCGACCGATGCCTTTGAACCTAATGGGGAAGCACGTTACAAAAATGGGAATGAGCTAGACATCGTGGTGCAGATACATCATGCTTTTTTGTGCATACGATTTAGAACACACAAGACATACTCTCGACTATACCAAAAGTAGACAAGAGCTTACACAAGTATTGGCTTGTATACAACATTTTTATCCAAAGATTGATTGAATATACTGTAATCTCACAACGCTTCAATACATCTACAAAGAACACTCAGTGGATCTAATGTATCCGTTATGACGCAAGACGGATGCGCTGCTAGGATGTTCTCGTGGCAATCTAGACACCTCGCAAGTCTTTGCAATCCAAATCATTAGGAAGTACGATTGAGAAATTGACCATACTAACCTGTTGTGAGGAATACGCATAAGAGCTGTAATTATCTGCTCCTCTAGTCGATGGATAGTTGCACGCAAAAAGAAGTAGACAGTACCTAGCCTAAAGTGTACTCATGCTAGAAATGAAAGATCATCCTGTAGAAAATATCTAGCCTAGAGTGTACCCATGCTAGAAATGAATCCTGTAGACATTACCTAGCCTAAAGTGTACTCATGCTAGAAATGAAAGATCATACTGTAGACAATACCTAGCCTTAAGTGTACACATGCTAGAAATGAAAAATCATCCTGTAGACAATACCTAGCCTAAAGTGTACTCGTGCTAGAAATGAAAGATCATCCTGTAGACAATACCGAGCCTAACGTGTACTCATGCTATAAATGAAAGATCATCCTGTAGACATTACCTAGCCTAAAGTGTACCCATGCTTGAAATGAAAGATCATCCTGTAGACAATACCAAGCATCACTAGAAATGAAAGATCCTCTTAAGACTTGCCTGGTGTGTAGCTGACTCCAGCTTCCTTGCAGTCGACCATTAGCGCTGTCATGTCACGCCCAGGGCAAGTGAGCCAGACAAAGTAGCCTCCGTCACTATCCCTGTGGACAAAAACCGGTAATAACCTCACTGATGAGAGTGAAAAGCGATACATACATGAAACCCATCAAATTGAGATGCATGGTCGCCAAGTAAAGTTTGAACTTCATGATTTGCAATGAAGCGAGTGCAAAAGTGTGCGCAAATGTACTCAAATCAGAATTCCAATTGTAGTGGCCTATTTGAGGTAGCGAGAAGGTCTGAGAAAGAAAAACGAGCTCGATAATAATACATAATAATATATAAATATAATAAAATAAAATGGAATATAATATTAATAATACAATAGCATATCTATATATACATATATATAAGGAAACGGGGATGAACTAACATGAAATGTGTACGCATTAGAAAAAACAGGCAAAATGCTGGGAAAAGGGAGAAAACACACTTGATAGTCTCATGTGAGAATAAACAAATAAGAATCACAAATCAAGAATCACATGAATATGTTGCTCGGACTGACAAACAATCACTAACTGTGCGGTTTACTTACGTAAAGGTCACATCTGTCCCCGCCAGCCCTACTCGTAGAGCTTCGCACATTGCACCCTTTCTCTCACCCAAGGTCTTCCGTAGTGCATCAAGATGGACATCAAATCTACCGGACTCTACCAAGGAATATACGATGGCACCAGCGAATGGATGTAGACCCCCACCACTGTTTGGTTGAAAGGAAGTTATCTTATCAGAACACTTGAACAAAAAAAACTTAACGGAATCTTATAGCGCGCATCAGATAGGTTTATCGTACGCAACTCATCACGCAAAGTACTGCTCTATAGTTTAAAATAGGCCTGGATTCAACCCGACCAAGCGGGTAAATATCGACTACAATCAGTTCAGCGGAAAGGTATAGACCATCACCAGTACATTTAAGAACCGCTTGTTGCATATGATATTCGTCTTAGTTGTGTTAATGATACATATTATATGATAAGCCGACTATCATAAGCTCGGTGATAATCTGCTTTGATGTTATAACGATATACAATAAATATTACAATTCACGATCGTGTTGGTGTCGTAAAGTGAGTAAAACACACCTTCCCTAAGGCTGCAGCTCTCCATTGAACACATATTTACGGGCGATGATCAAAGTACATTACTGATACTTCGCAACTTGTTCGCCCGGGGCTACAATACAGGAGGTATATATTTGCACACAAGAGGTATACTCTTACACTAACGCAGAACTCTGTACGTGAAGGAATCTACACCGTGAAACCAGCGATTAGTACCGCTATACAGAATCTTCAGGAACTCGGAGAGGCAGTGAAATCAAGTGATAAAATAATCACAACGTCTGAGCATACACCTCAGGGTCACAGCCGATGCTGAGTCTCATAAGTGTCAGTAGATACCCTACCGCGTCAACATCATCTCAGACACATTCTGTGTAGTGTGAGTGTGATTCCGGGTGCACTATTGTGGGCCTTGCTCGAAACATGTAAACATGCGATACATCACGCGTGACTGTCTAACGACCGTGTACACCCGAGACACACACGATGCGGAGTGGTTCTTAGGCACGCATTTGCGATTGCTCATTAGCCCGGGGGCAGTTTGACTACGGTTGATTCGAAGTATGCCGGCAGAGTCAGGATGTTTTTGCACAGCGCACGTGTTGCTGATACGTTAGAACGCCCCACATGAGCCTTATATAGTCTTATCTGATGCAAAAGAGCATGAATATAAACTGCTTGATGATGTCAATCGACTTTGAAGTACCTGTTCACGTAGCCTCGGTTCTGGATGGCGCTGTGAACTCGCTCAGGTGATTGCACCCATCCAAACCTAAACCAAAATTTTAAAATTATGGGTTTATTAAAATGAAAAACCCGAATCCGGCTGCAAATAACACGTAGGCAACCGAGACTCTTTGTAAATATCCACATGTTTATACTCACGCTTGCACACGCTCGACTTGTGCCACTCTACCATACAAACCGTGGGCAGAAACGTTTACGCGCCGTCAGGTCGGCGTCTGCATTGAAACCTTTCTTGGGACAGCTATTTGAATGGCCAAAAGGCATCCCACTCAATATCTCGAATAAAATTCGGTAAAAATGAATATGAAACTCCGACGTACCTCAACCCCGGTGCTAAAAGCTTACTGAAGGATCCCAGAGATATACACCAATCGGGACATATTGACGACATCACCGACGGAGGCTTCTGGGACACTCCCGTGGGTGTGGGAAAGTATAGGCTCTGATACACATCATCGGTTACTGCCAGCAGTTTCCGTCTGACAAACAAGACGATATGATATCAAGGCATGATTAGATGAAATGGGTATCCATATGCAAATACTCAAACGCTCCAGTAAATAAGCCTCATCGACAAAAGCGGAGTGTAACTCAGGCTATATTCTTCTACTGCGCTCCACAGTGCTTACTTCTCCAATATGGCGGCAAATTTTTTTCGAGCGGACAGTGGCATGGTCGATGACGATGGGTTGCCTGGATGTAAAGAGAAGTGCGCAGGGGCAAGACATTAGAGATCCGGGACTGGCTGTACATATCACACATTGGGGATTCGTGGTATATGTAGTCAGAGATATCAGCAGTAATGGTTCGCTGTAGGATCCTCGGGTGTTTCTTCTCCGCGGGATGTGTGAGCTGGTGGTTGGTAGAAGTGAAGTCGGTGCTTGAAAGTGAACGTCAGACTAAACGTCGCTAACGGAATCTCACAGCGAAAGGCTAGATTGGAATTTATAATTAGAACACTTCTAAGTACAATAGTAACCAAAGACGTAGCGCATATAAATAGGTTGTAATACGAACCAACATACCATATGATGGTATGGTATAGATGAATTTGACTTCGGGATTTTGATCCAAGATATCTTCCAAGGCTTCAAGATCGAGTCCGTTGTGGTCTGCTGGCACTGGTAAGCATCGCAAGGAATGATCATTGAAAACTGACAAGGCCAAAAAGTATGTCTGGAATTGAAGTGAAAGATAAGATGGCATGAGAGATGTGTGAGGGTGTAGAGATGTACATGACCCTATGTACCACATGAGACACACAATACCGCATGTAGTAGTCACATGTAGATGGCAGGGCGCAGAAGAATGACTTCCTGGCTGCCATATCTATAGTGAGTGTAACAACGGTAAACAGAATATCTGGCTAATTGTCATGTTGCACCGAAAGAGTGCTACGTTTGTTCTGACATAAAGATACCTACTCAGTACAATACACGTAGACAGAGACGTGGGCAATGAGCTCATAATCCGTACTTAGATAGTCATGAATGTGTGCGATCGATGTCACACCTGGCAGAGTATAAATACACGCTGCACGAGATATACAGTATTGATGTACTACCGAGAAAGCTACCATCACACACATGCCAGTGTATATCATTGAATGTAGCGGTGTTTTCGTTGCTGTGAGATTTTATGTCTAGCCTTGTACTGAGGTCACCTCATCCCTGCTGGGCGAAACAAACCAACAAACCAATGTGTATCAACAAAGCGTACGCAAACAATCAGATATGACATACCGGATCTTCAATCAGAACTAAGTCTCCTGGCTGCGTCAAGGTTGCGCACACTATCTCCAACGCACTCGACGAGCCGTTAGTTAGAAACAGACGGTCAGCCGATACGTCACTTTCGTATTCTTTAGACAGCCACTTAGCTATTGATTCTAATACAGGTGCTTGTCCGGAATTGTCACCATACTGGTTTGTAGGAAGAATAGTTAAATAGCATGAGAGGGTCATAAGAATCAATATCGTATGAGAGTTCGAATGCGACTGATACATGCCTCCGTCCGATACGTTCCGGGGTCTTGCTCGTTTTCGAATACTCTTTAATCGAAATGCCGAGATAGTTAAGATGAAAAGTGTGTTAGGATACATACGAATAATGCGTGCACATCAACTATAGTCCGCTGAGCATCATACCTTAACCAAGGTTGATACGCTCGGAAGAAAGAATATCAAAACAAGCACTGAGGAAAAGAAAGGCAGAATAGTACATTCAACTGTGGGCAGCTTATAGTGGCAGACGAACCAAGTCACCGTACCTGCAATACGTCACGAACATCGAAAGTGTCGTTTCGGCAGCGCTTCGCCACATCACTGACGGCATCGCTAATCAGGTCCATTGGCAGGAGATTCTGTGGTATATGAAGAGCAAGAACGATCAAATTTCCTGCGCTGTGAAGTATGTGGTAGAGTGTACTGGTAACTGTATGAGAGCACACGTGATCAAATGCTAGTTGATCAGAAAGAGTGTACTGGATACTCGTTGACGGGACAAAGGATATAAGCGTGAAACGCATTTGCACACGCCTATAACGCTAACATTGGTTCTAAAGTATATTATGTTATGTCTCTGTCGAAGATGAGCGTTTGCATTTACATGGGTTGGAACTGCTATGCAGGCTACTTGACTAAAAACATATGACAGATGGGATACGATCGTGAGTACATTATGTGCTACTTGGCATATAGAATACTACACATTCGATACACACAGCTAAAATGTGTTGGGATATTGTACACAATCCCTCCTGAGTTATCTTGCATACACGAACCCCGCGAGGTTTGAGACTACATCGGTATATCCGACAATCAAAAATCACCCCCTCAACCCCGTCATCCTCCTCGATAAACCACAGGCAACTACATACAGCCGTAAAATGACGGTTCATTTGCACAAAAGTGGTTTTTTCGATTGATGTATCGGTTAGGGTGGTGTATTACCGCGCGCACATTCTTGATTTCAGAGAGTATCCAGTGAAGTCACAGCTCTAGTGGAGTCTACTACTGCGCGAGGATCTAAATTTGATGTACATTATGAGCTGCCTTGAGTGGAGAATAGCCCACAGGTATTTTGAAGGTATTCAAGGGTCTAATTATCTATTATGAAATGACAATGGGGTGCTAACTTAGTGGTTTATGGAGGTAATATACATATTATGCAAGACATTACATCTAGAAGATAGATATAGACACGCATATTTGACTATCCCAGTTCCAGATAATATTGACATACACTTGAGCAAATGTGAAGACTTATATTTGAGTCTCTCGTGTACATACAACTTTTGTATCGATATGATACTTCAATATCATGGTAGGATTCAGTAACTGTGTCTGCTTGGCTATAAAGACGCAAGATAAATACACATAATCAAGTTTGGGTAAATACATATCCTTTCGTTTCATGAAAACATGGGTTGAGGTGATATATAACTCTGAAGTACTGATATATACTACCTTCGATGGTTGTCCAATACCGAAGTCTATGACATCGCTAGTTGCTCGTTTCCATGCCGACGCCATGTTGCCTGTTGGTTGAGAGGTAAATCGTCTCGTAAGTAGAAATCCTGTAGGCGAGGAGAGAGTTTTTATGGGAATACGACCTATATGTCCACAGAGGCTTCTTAACATATGTGCACTGTTCTACTACACTTTTCTGTCTCGCCGATCACAACGATAATTCACAGGACGCGTATTGTGTGTATGGAGGGACAACTATAGTAAAAGGATAGAACTAAATACACACCTATTATCCATAGCCTTCGAAATTGAACATATTATTACATATTTACAATTTGACATACCACTGCTGAGCTCTGTGAGCAGTGCTGACTTCGTTGCGGCCTGCTGGGCTGCGGCTGGACCTGCCATATTTGGTATTTACAAAAAATAGGTTACGTAAATGAGTAGATCTGTGGCACCTTCAGTCTCCATTCTTCAGAGTTCAGGGTCAGGCACTGACGTTGTTTTATATCTAAAATAGTTATCTGTGTGTACATACGTTGTTGGTACAGTATTTATTTTTTTACATAAATATTTAGTAAATATTCCGTAGACTAAACGCATACATGTACATACTCCTTTTTCTTCTTTTTTTTAAAACCAAAATACTGCTAATTTCTTTTTTGAAAGTCAAAAAACAAAAGTTCACACATTTGAAAAAGAAAAGAAAAATGCCCCGCCTAAAACATAAAGTCTAAATTTAGAACGCCCGCCTTTTCTTGGCTGGCTTATCGAAATAAACTTTTCGGAATTCTCTGTGCGCATTGAGTGCGAGCTGAGACTCTGAGAGAGAGCCAAAGAGACCTAAGAGAGGAAGAGGTACTGTACTGTGTATATATTTATATTTATTTACGTATGTACATACATATCACACATATTCATGCCCATATGTTCCATGGGCTGCTGCTATAATTGTCGCACACGTAGATGACAACTCTCGCTCTTGCTGTCAAACCAGTACACCCTTATCGACTGTACATGCCCACATAAATAAATCGTTTTATAGTGATAGACCTAAACTTCTATGCATTCAAAAAGGGGAATAATAGCATATATATCACACGTACTTTGATATAGTGAATAATATAAGGTATAGTCTACCGACCAACCTCATTTCACAAACACTTAGCTCAGCCGTCATGCTTGGTTCAGTAGCAGACGACACAAAGGAGATGGACTCCTACAGCGATGACAATGAACTCTCAAGTTGTGATGCATCAGATTCAAGTGAAGAAGAACCTGAGCTCGCCAGCGACGGTGCGTTCTATTTCAATGACATGACTTGCGGGTTGATATTTTTGTGAATTTTTGTGTAGATATTTTAGATTTATATGTATCTGTATTCTTGCTGAAAGGGCCACACAGTGACGGTAGATTGCTTTTGAAAGTTAAAGCTTGTAGGTGGTACTATTTTTATTATATGTATGTCGATGTAGATGTGTAATCCTGTATTCTCTTGTGACTTGCCAGCGACGATCTTTTACTTGTATTTAACAAACATGTGTGTCGTAGTTCTTTGTGTGTGTGTGTTGTTTTTGTTATATATATATATATATATATATATATGTATATATATATATATATATATATATATATATATATATATATATATATAGTATAGTAGTAGTACGTACGTACGTACTACTA